AAGGAAACATTATTTGAATACCCCAAATATTTTAATTGTGAAACAGAATATCTAGCGAGAGAAGCATTCTTTTCGATAAATCCTCGTTCAGGCTGTGCTGTTAGAAATCCTTTCAGTCTAGCAAGCAATACGCAGCAAAGGCAAATTAGAATTATACAAGAAAGTGTATTGTATGTGCGTCGGTGGCACAGTGGTTAGGACTCTCGCCGACCATGCACATGGTCCGGGGTTCGATCCCCTGCCGACGCACACCCGATATCTATGGTCGGCCTGCAAAATTTGGGCTACCGATATCCATGCTGAAAATTCCATACTTGTACTGAAAATACGGTGTGGCATCAAGCTGTAACCAAAATAAAAAAATTACAAGATGGAGTAATACTCAGTTAGTTGTCATTATCATTTCGAATATGTACGGTCAATAATAACATGAGATAAAATGGAATGTAATAATTCAGTGATGTGGTTGCCTATATAAGCTAAGAGGCTGACAGATTTCAAGGGTGATTGTAGTCAGTGGTGTGAGAGCAAATGTGGATACTACATTGAGAAATGATGAACCAACAAATGGGATGCGCCTAACATGAGTTCAAGGGTGACAAATAACAGTGATAACGATGGTGTGGTGTAAGTTTTAAAAGTACCATTAGATGACGACTATCAGGTAGTAATGAATCTGACATAGTGGAATGAACAGGATGGTGTTGATATGATAACAAGTTTGGGAAGCATCACGTAAACTTGGAGTAATAAGCATAATAAGAGAGGTCACGAGGTCGTTAATGGTTTGCAAATAAACGTTTGTCAATGAAATGTAGGCCAAACATGGCGAAAATAAATAGGATGGGGACTCAAAGTGTTCATCATCAATCTTTACAGAGGATTTATTGACCTTATTGAATGACCAGGTTAGACAAAGTGGTTGGTCATACCTTGTGCGTGTATACAGAGACTGAGTGTTGAAGACATTTGTTGGATGATGATTAGCAGTGGGAACTAGGGTGGTGAATTCATCCTATTTCGGACTATTTAGCTGGATGTACATGCCTTCCACAGTGAGCGAGGCCAATCACTTCTGTGCAATCAGTCAATAACGATAATATGTTTTCAGACCGTAGATGATACGAACTTCCTGAAATAACTAGAATGGCGAGTCAGACTGATTCATGATAAATTATATAAATTTTTCCCAGCATTCGCAAATGAATTCAAATCATGATTTTTCTGAACTTTTCTCTGTGTAAGCCAAGGCTGCTTCTTCAGCAGAATTATTCTGATTTTATTAATCATCAAAATGTGTAGTCAAAATATTTTGCGTAAATTGAAGTCAGTTTCTTCGAAAGTCACCTATCGATAGACATTTCTACCAATAGAAGTATGTAATGACAAATTGTTAATGTAAATATTTGTCTGCGTGAGTGCATATTATTTATCCTATGGAAGATGCGTCAATTCACATGTGATAAACATGATAATAGATTTTTAAAGGTCATGGAGGTTCATTGAGGTTTTAGTTGTTGTATCATCTGTCTTGTTTAATTAGAGTTTACCATATAGGTGATAAGTCTACACATGTCTTGTTCTAATATTAATTATAGCAATAATAGTTTGGGAATCATCAGCAGTACACACTCACTGGGATTAAGTTTCATTCTCCTTTTCTCTTCTCAGATTTAGCTAATTCTGTCGACATAGTCAAATAAGAAATCCTCAGGAAGTTCATCAACCTCAAATTTCTTCTGTGATAATTTCCTTCCTTTCCAGTGATCGGGAATTTGGATAAACTTTATTACGTCTAAGAGATTTCCAGTAAATTTTAGGATATCGATTATTATTCAAAGAGTAATTTATAAAATGTAATCATGTGTTCGCTTCTGTGAGTCTGGCATTATACTTCAAGTACTCATTAAGTGCCTTTAATGCACTGGGATCCCCAAGTGATTTCAAATCTTTTTCATTATTACCATTTTCTATAGTTTGGTTTGTAAGGGTTTGTTATGTTTTTACGAGTTGATGACGGACTGATATCAGTTAGAGAACCATTGAATCCAACAAGGAGTACTGGACAGCTGCTGTTTCATCCTAGTTCGGGAATCATCGGCAGTACGCACCTACTGGGATTCGAACCCAGGACCTTCCGGTTACAAGGCAAGCTCGTATACCATTCAGCCACTGGGACCCGATTCAATGGCCAATTCATGAATTCTAACTTCTACCAATTCGTGATTTAGCGCGACCCCAACCATTGTCGTTGGTGGGACATCCATCCACACATGTGACATCTAATTGGACCTCACTGGTCACGACTTCTCACTAGAACTCCAGGAAGCTCCAACCTGTAGCAAGTCACTAGAGAGCATCAGATTAATTTTCTATAGTTTGGTTTGTAAGGATTAGTTATGTTTTACGAGTTGATCACGGACTGATATCAGTTAGGGAACCATTGAAAACCAGGGAGTACTGGACAGCTGTTTCGTCCTAGTTTCAGAATCATCGGCAGTTCGCACCCACTGGGATTCGACAATGGTTGGTGTCGCGCTAAATCAAGAATTGGTAGAAGTTAGAATTCATGAGCCATTGAATTGATTCCCAGTGGCTGAACGGTATACGAGCTTGCCTTGTAACCGGGAGGTCCTGGGTGCGAATCCCAGTGAGTGTGTACTGCTGATGATTCCCAAACTATTATTGCTATAATTAATATTAGAACAAGACATGTGTAGACTTATCACCTATATGGTAAACTCTAATTAAACAAGACAGATGATACAACAACTAAAACCTCAATGAACCTCCATGACCTTTAAAAATCTATTATCATGTTTATCACATGTGAATTGACGCATCTTCCATAGGATAAATAATATGCACTCACGCAGACAAATATTTACATTAACAATTTGTCATTACATACTTCTATTGGTAGAAATGTCTATCGATAGGTGACTTTCGAAGAAACTGACTTCAATTTACGCAAAATATTTTGACTACACATTTTGATGATTAATAAAATCAGAATAATTCTGCTGAAGAAGCAGCCTTGGCTTACACAGAGAAAAGTTCAGAAAAATCATGATTTGAATTCATTTGCGAATGCTGGGAAAAATTTATATAATTTATCATGAATCAGTCTGACTCGCCATTCTAGTTATTTCAGGAAGTTCGTATCATCTACGGTCTGAAAACATATTATCGTTATTGACTGATTGCACAGAAGTGATTGGCCTCGCTCACTGTGGAAGGCATGTACATCCAGCTAAATAGTCCGAAATAGGATGAATTCACCACCCTAGTTCCCACTGCTAATCATCATCCAACAAATGTCTTCAACACTCAGTCTCTGTATACACGCACAAGGTATGACCAACCACTTTGTCTAACCTGGTCATTCAATAAGGTCAATAAATCCTCTGTAAAGATTGATGATGAACACTTTGAGTCCCCATCCTATTTATTTTCGCCATGTTTGGCCTACATTTCATTGACAAACGTTTATTTGCAAACCATTAACGACCTCGTGACCTCTCTTATTATGCTTATTACTCCAAGTTTACGTGATGCTTCCCAAACTTGTTATCATATCAACACCATCCTGTTCATTCCACTATGTCAGATTCATTACTACCTGATAGTCGTCATCTAATGGTACTTCTAGTACTTACACCACACCATCGTAATCACTGTTATTTGTCACCCTTGAACTCATGTTAGGCGCATCCCATTTGTTGGTTCATCATTTCTCAATGTAGTATCCACATTTGCTCTCACACCACTGACTACACTCACCTTTGAAATCTGTCAGCCTCTTAGCTTATATAGTCAACCACATCACTGAATTATCACACTTCATTTTATCTCATGTTATTAGTGACCGTACATATTCGAAATGATAATGACAACTAACTGAGTATTACTCCATCTTGTAATTTTTTTATTTTGGTTACAGCTTGATGCCACACCGTATTTTCAGTACAAGTATGGAATTTTCAGCATGGATATCGGTAGCCCAAATTTTGCAGGCCGACCATAGATATCGGGTGTGCGTCGGCAGGGGATCGAACCCCGGACCATGTGCATGGTCGGCGAGAGTCCTAACCACTGTGCCACCGACGCACATACAATACACTTTCTTGTATAATTCTAATTTGCCTTTGCTGCGTATTGCTTGCTAGACTGAAAGGATTTCTAACAGCACAGCCTGAACGAGGATTTATCGAAAAGAATGCTTCTCTCGCTAGATATTCTGTTTCACAATTAAAATATTTGGGGTATTCAAATAATGTTGCTCATGAAAACTTTCTGGTTACCTGACTTAACACTCAGCAGGTGAAAAGTCAAACATAAGGAGCAACTCTAAATTGACCAATTAGATTACCTCTACAACTTAACGGTTTCGGTTGTTGAGAGTGGAACGGCCGAATGTTCAAAATCCTAGTACATGTGTTTCAATGTACATTGTATGGAATTATGATCCCTAGTAAGTCACACCTAAATTGATTGCCACCAATTCATCAGTTCAGATGTCAAGTTGTCTCGAAAATCAACTATCCTAGTGCATAAGGCATTGAGTTTGAATAATACAAACTTGAACACCACCCAAATGACTGGTTGGTGAATAGGCTGATTTACGTCTGTGTGCGCTCGCTGTCACGTGTCTAACACACGTTGCTCTATGAAAATTGACAAGGCTAATTCGATTGCCTTGATAAACATTCTCTTTTCTTCAGAAGTATCACGACGACTAATACTATCATGTTAGTCTGCCAATCAAATGGCACCTGATCGGTGTTATCGTTGTCTAAAATTTAGATAGTGAGTGACTGGACATTCAGTTTCACATACACATCAACCAATCACACCTGAGTGAATGTGTTTGTTATTCTACACCCCATCTCTCTCTCTCATGCATATATAAAAGCGTGAAACAAAGTGAATATCTCATTCTGGAGGTACGCTGACTGCTGTTAGGTATGTTCAACACTTTGTGTGGAGTGGTTTTCTTGTATTGTATTTCAGGAAGAGATGAGGCTTTATGGTAAGTCACTAGTACTTTGTGTGTAGGTATGCTCACAGTGACTCAGTGATGTCAGTACTAAGTGTTAGCAGTAGGAACTCGTAGACTTATTTCTACGCTTTGTTTAGGCGAGTAGGTGCATACTGTCGTTGGCTGAGTGTTGAACCATAGGACATAATAATTCTGTGGAGAGTTAGTTTCTAGGATTCTATTTTCTAAATCTCAGTCATGAGTGTATGTGTGGTGGTTGGTATATTCGTTTTTGAATACCAGGTGATCATGATAGGAGTAGATTAGGAGTCTCCAATCTGGTTGATATTTGTTAAAGTAGTAAACGGAGTGACAAAGGGTACTATGGTGCACAGTGAACGGATGCGTTCTCAGATGTCACCTGTAATCTCTCCTCATTGTTATCAACACTGTTGTAATTCCACATACTTCAAGCGTATTCGCTTTCTGTTGTTATTGTACGTATTGTGTTTCGATGACATTTTGTAGGGCTTAGCTGGTGGCTGAAATACTGCAGTCGAACGTGAGTTGAGTGGTGTCTGTGATGAACTTCGCTTTGTAGGCATTTGATTTACAGTTTGATGTTTTAAATGTTAGGAGTGACACGGATTTAGGTGCTGTGTTCCCTAATTATACTCTCGATGGTAAATCTGAATTTGCCCTTCTTACCCGACTGGGACCATTAACGCCTCTTGTGAAAACTAGTAATTTAGTACTCATGGGGTGAATTTTGACAACAAATGAGATCATGGTGGTTATGTGTGATGTAGTTGGATTGCAGTTCGAGTGAAATAGAATTTGTTTATCTTTCATTTGTAGAGTTGCCCACGAAAACAAAGATGCATAAGGGACAGAATGTGCAGACAACGACCACTGTGTCGAAACCGGCTGGAGGGATGAAAACCACACCTGTCCAACAATCGCTGGCTGTTCCAGGGAATGTATCTGCTAACTTCAAGGCTTTAGCTACAAACATGAAGACAGGTGGTGCCAGCATGACCGTCAGGACCACTGTTACAAAGACAGTCAGTAACACTGTTACTTACAGACAACATTCAGGGGCGACCACTGCAAAGCAAGCCAGTATTGGAATGGCGAAGTCGACCGGCGGTAAATCTGGAAGTGGTGGGAAACGATAACCGACCAACATCTGAGCAGCTATCAACTTGTGGCAGTAGATGTTGGCTTCAACTGTAAAGAGACATTCCTAAATAACTTTTAGACATGCCATATTCACTCTGCACAACAATTTCCTTGTTTTCGAGTTAACAAACTTTCTTCATCGCTGGACTACATGCTACTTCATATACTCTTTGTTCCCGCTTATCAACTGGTACATGTTCTTCACTTGTTTATATTTCAATAATTGTACGTATTCTCAACCACATATCAGTGTTTTGTTTTAACGCAGATGTTAGCTTTGCTGGTTTAGATGTGCATCGTGAAACGATACGATAGTATTTATCTTACGTATTACTTTCTATTATGTGAGCAGTCCACGTTATCATTCGAATGTATGTGAACGTGGCACGGTGGTATTGAGTTTGAAGGTGGATTTGATTTTGAATAACTAGTGTTGTTGTGCAGTTCGATAGTGGTTGGCCTAGTATTTCGAAGAGAGCGCGACAATTCTTAGTGCGTCCTTGTCATTCAATATGATTATATGATGGAATCATATAAGGTTTCTCCTCAAAATCGATGTCAGTTTCTTGTATTGCATACCGCGTCTGTAGTTCGGGACTGACTCATCAGACTTGCACTACTCCATTTCGTGTGCATAATAACGTAGATAACGTGTGACATGCCTCGTCAACAGGAAATGCGTGAATGGAAATGCACAGTAATCGTCAGGGTCGAAGGTTCCAGACTGTTGTGTAGAATATGGATTATGGAACTTAAAATTACGGATTATAATAAAGGTTTTTGTATTTCCCAATGAATGAAAAACAAAACGATATGGCTTTTCATTCATTGGGAAATACAAAAACCTTTATTATAATGAATATCTTATACCCAATTCCCAAATTTTTTCAAGACGTTAAGATTGCGGATGTCTGTTCGATCTAACCGTTTGATAAACAGAGGTGTCGTCGGATAGTCATTATTAACTACAAAATACAGGGAAATGTTTGTAATGGTAGCGAAATGATAGCACGACATAACTGAGAAATCTGTGTGAGGAATCCTTGTCATCATTTGCCGTAGTCAGACAGTTTGTCGCCAGTTTTGAGGATGACTGTGGTATGTAAATGTGGCTGCCACACACTCGAAAGCACTACCATGCATCAGTGTGTACTGGCGTGTGAAGTCGAGAAAATAGGCTATGGAAACAAGCGACCTGCGGTGAGTGCGATCGAATGGAAGAGTGGATGGTGTATTCTCATGCGAATCGAGAGCGTCACGTTTTCACTCGATTCATCATGCTGAATTGTGGAAGGAAAATGTCAAGGTCTACAGGAGTGTGATCACAGGTGATTATCTGTTTCAAACGAAACTGATTTCAACAGTTGAGTCGTCTCACTTTCACATGTGTTGACTCTGTGTATATACAGCGTAGTTTTGTTGAATAGAAATTATGCTCACCATCACAGATCAGTCGTCGCTTCCTAATGTTTTCATAGATCAATCAGACATAAGACATCGACGAAATGTGGTTATTATCAGAGTGCAGGTTAAACATTTCCTTGTCTGGTGTCGTTATTTCATTCGATTACTGAATACGACCGTTGACAAAGTAAGTTGTAAGCTCTGGATTTTGTCTTCCAATGTTAATACGTCGTGGGGAAAATGAATTTCAACAGTCTACTCCATGAAGCAAATAGTGCATTACCCTACCTCTAGAACCATGCCTTGACGATATATCTTCCTCACACGAATTGTTACATATAAGAATGAAGAGAAGCAGTTGTGATAAGCGTAAGGAACCAGACTTGCAGTCACAGCAGCAGGTATCTTTAACTGATATCTGCTCTTGTCATGATCAACGTTGAAATTCATCTGACCCAGGCTGTCTGAACAATTGATATTCGGTTTAATCGTAACCTGAATGTTCTTGATTCCACCAATATATGGATTGTGTCGCGTCTAGGAGTAAATCAAACTGTGGTAAGTGTAAACTGGTTAAATGTAAACAGCCTCATTCTAATATTCATCTTATAAAAGTAAAATCGGCTCTATTGAATTCAACATTATTTACAACACTCGCTTCAATGAATTTACTATCAAGCCATACATTAGTGTACATATGATTTATTTTTGAAAACTATAAGCTTTGAGTTAACATAAACAATGCGTGACAATAAATAGTATTAGCAATGTTGTTAAATGAGATAGACAGTATTTGTGATCACAAGCATAGTTAAACACTGGACGGTATCAGTGGTTCTCGTAACATATGAAATTATTCAAATAATCTGTGTATCTTGAAAGGGCGCAAGTATTATAAACAAAATTACTAGACAAATGAAACATTATGCAACAGATTGAGACAAATTGGTTGATAGATTGACTGAATTTTCAATATATGAACTATGCAGGCATATACATCACACTTCAATTTGACACATTTTACGGTCTTTGCGTTAAGGTAGAGAAAGTTAGTAACTTTTGTAAACTCCAACAAACGAAAATGTACAGGAAAATAAGCAGTTACGTGAGTAATAGTCAGGAATTCGAGTATTTGGATTATCCATTGCAGTTAAGACAGATCCATGGCACTGAGTGATGAAAGCCAACATGTCTTATTTTGACGGAAGCAAAATAAAGCATGGAGACATGGAATGTCCACACTCTGTAGGAGACCAGTTGAGAATGCCAACCAGATTGCGCAAGAAAAGAGAAGACATGGCATGGAATTCGTGGTAATCTGTGAGAGTAGATGGAATGGAATCGGACTATGCTCACTGATAACAGGAGTAGGGTCAATAATCTACTTCGCTTACCCGAACGACAACCATGAGGACACCGATTGTCTGGCGGTCGTCATCCCACCAGCTGCCTCCGTATCTCTCCTACAATGGGAGCCACTGTTTGGAGACTGACAATTTCTGTTACTGTAATGTTTATACGCTCACCGTTGTTTGTTAATATTTTTTATATAAATTACAATCGATTCTGCCAAATACAAATTCCCAAATTCTGGTCTCTCTCAGTTGTTTGGTTCCATGTGATAGGGTCATTACGAAATATTATTACAAGTAACTGCTACTCGATGCACCCCAAGATCACGATGTGAGAGGAATGAAAGTTACAATTATCCAATGCTATGCACCTGCAAATCCCTCAGACTGAGTGGAGAAGCTGGCGGACTTCCACAGCCGACTGCAAACAGTAATTTACAGGAGAATTGATTTCAGATTTCTGGGAGTTTGATGATTTGATGAGTGGTGGGTGGCGTATACAAGGAGAAGATAGAATGTATGCTCAAACTGACGTGGATAGACTTCATTTCAATCTCGGCGAGGTGGGAGACGGTTTGCTGGACACGTGAACGTCAAGTCAGTGAGATATAAGTACAGGTCAGTATCGAGAGCAAGGAATTTCGCAGATCAAGTTGAAAGTACTCAAAGTGGCTGGATATAGACCGAAGACTACATTCTACACTCGGAAACTGACAGGTGAATGTTTGAACAAAGGTGCAGCAGTTCAAGTTGACCTACTTCATGAAGTACACGTAAAGGTTGAGCAAATAAGTTACTCAGCCTACCTTTCATCTTTGTGAAACTGTAATCTGAAGCGCTATCGTTAGTTTGCATGCAGCACTCACTGATTACAGAGGACGTTCATTTTCGAAGTATTGTGTAGCATGACTTGTTACAGGACGGAGTTTTCTGGAGTTCTGTGTGGAAGTCGTGACCATTGAGGTGAACACAGCCACGAGTATGGATGGATTTATGACTAATGACATTGGATGGTGACCGCAATGGAAATCAAGAATTCGAGGAAGTTACAATTCATGGGCTGGCAACTGAATTGAGTCGCACTTTCTGAATGGTATGGAAGCCTGCTTGTTAACTGTGGGAGTTTCAGGTTTGGAAGCCCGGTAAATGCGTAATGACGATGACACCCGAAGAAGGATGAAACAGCTGTCCACTGGCTCGATAAGTGATGAAATTACGTGAGAAAATCCAAAAAAAGCAAACATTTAGCAATCAGTCCTTGAAAACGTAGTTATATGTTTGAAGTTATTAAGTCGGGTTGACTAAAGACGTTGTGGAAGCCACTGTATATCATGGATGCTTTCTTACTCAAAATCAAGTGTGATATTGTGCAGGTATGTGAATTTAGGTTTCAGATAACCCAAATACTCCACCAGAAATACAACAAACGAATGATAATCATAATGATATTAGTGGTCATGAGAGTTTGTGAACTTTTGGTCAGCCAAATAAGAACAACAGATTGGTGAACACAATCAATACTACATAGTTGTCTGGTTTTCTTATTCATAACTGTGATCTTCCTTCTTTGTAAGTTGATTCCTCAGGATGATGTAATCTGAACAGCCATCTTGAAATTTGGTTTATAGTAGACTGACTAGTTTATACTTTCTATCAAACACGAACACGTCTGAAGAAATCTGGATAATATCTTTGACGGAAACAACCGATGTTTTCACAACCACCTATCCAACTCCTCGACTCACAGAATTTCGATTATTAATCTTCCACATTTTACTTCTGCTTTCAGTTGGAATTTAGCAAAGTAGAGAGTGCTGAAACTGAATTGTCCAGGTCAGAAGCCACAACAACATCACTGATATAATCACTAGCAAACACATTGTGGGTCGGTGAACAACTGACGCGTCAGTCAGACTTATGCATTCCAAAATGAATTAGTCGGGATTGAACCTAACTGAATAACAGGCTTTAATCTTGATTGATGTAGAAGACATATTCATGTGGAATTCTAGTTGAAGTATGTATGACCTCATTCCGTAGCTGACTGTTATTTCATATACGGGGAGTATTTCTTGACAGTGTTGAAGGGTTTAAATATTTTTCATTATGGGTAAATTTTGTTTTGATGGTCTCACATTTTTTTTCAGTAATATTTACTGATTACTTTTCCAGCATAATTTATTGCTCATAATCATATCAAGGTTTAAATGTTTTCAGCAGAGGATCGTTACTACGATTAGTCATTTCTGTGTAGGACACAGGGCACAGTTTGCTGTTGGAAATGAGCTGTTGACGTGGAATTCAGTTCGCAGAATCGTATAGAAATTGCGACTTGACATTATTGTTGTGAATTTGAAGGTTGTTCCCAGGGCTGAATGCTGCAGATCTAAACACTGACATCAGTGTATTGAACTCCTCTCTTGCTTTCCTTACCGCATCCTTGCGTATTTGTCTCCATTCGTACCGGCTGTAGTTGAGGCGATTTTACCTATCCAGTTGGGTGAAAAAAACGTCTTCCTTTAACACCCTCACCGGTCTATTTTTTGTTTGCTTATTGTAGGCTGATTTTCTGTCTCACCTCCTCCTTATCTATTTTGTTCACTTTAGCTTGTGTGTTTCTAGTTTGGATGACACCTGACTTAGATAATTCACGAAATCCAGGTTTCCTATGGTCTTTTGGTGGGTCCAATGGAAAAGTAGTGACATTTATCTAATCCCTTAGTGAATACTGATTTCTTGTGATTTTATCCAATTAAAAGAAATGACGGAGTGATAAGCATTTTAGGAATCTTTTTGTCGTTTGAGCATACCGTGACTGTTTAGGTAAGAAAGTGGTCAAAACACCAAAATGTTAATATGGACATTAAATTATAAGCTAGAATTGTTTCAGTAATACTACAACAAATAAGCAAACTGGCATCAAGTTACTCAGATGTTGTTGCACTAGTCGGGTTTTATATCAATGGCAAGTGTGTGTAAATCGGTTTATGTTAGTTTTAGTTCTCACACTCCGGGCTACCTTAAAACATAGTAACCTGAATATTTATTCAAAATTGGTTCAAAACAAAAATAATTAGAGCCAACATCTGTTTTCGAAAGTCCACATATATGATGTTAACATTTCAGAGATCACATTCCCATATATATATATATATATATATATATATATTTGCTCTTGATCATTTCGGCGTAAAGATGTGGATAAGCATAATAATAATTACTATTATTTCTTTGGGTTTCTAGCGGGATAAAGGGAATCAGAAACAAATTTCTATTTCACCTCTGTTTTATGCAGATTTTCTGCTTGACTTTACGTTTGGCCATAAGCTTTCATCATATCCTCACACGATTTCTTTTGGGTCACACACAGTCGAATTCACGCTAAACCTATCATTTAACATTCGAGTTCCACTTATGATGTTAATCAACAGTTTCCTAAGTGTTCGTATAATTTGTCTCCATTCCATTCTGCATATTTGTTGGACAATAGGCTGTGAGTTGGTTTGTTGTCACATATTAGAGTTGAGTACCCTTCTGACTAGCTATTTGATCTTGAGCGGAATTGTCTTCAGATAAAAGTCTACAACCTACTGGTAGTGATATCAGTGACGCACTAAGTCTCCTAGTCGTGAAGAAGAACTGACTGACTTGACACTATAGCTGAAAATTTGGATCCTTTTGTTTTATGCTCAGTTCAGTAGATTTCCACATTGATTTTAGAGTAATGATGCTTCTGATTGTTTTTCCTATCCTGGGCAACTTTTATATCCCAATCTATGACACCTTTAGTGGAAACGATGCTGAATAATCAGGTAAATGAGAGACGACAAGCATAAGGATAAACTTCATTTCTTCATAGTAGTAAGACCAAGTGTAAACAGACTGTTTTCCGTAATCAGGAAGGTTACTGTTTCACAACCTGAGCTTCAGGGATTTACCAACATGCCAACTACTCCCAGGATGAGTGGTCGGTGACTTATATTTTCATATACCGAAACAGATATCTTCACCATCTCAGTAGTTGGTCCAATTCTTTTGGATTCACTAGACGGAAATGGTGACTTCCCTTATGCAACATAAAATCTGAATATATGCGCAACAGAGCTGGCCTCGAAATGTTTGATTTGCTGAGATTTAATTGGTCTCAAGTTATATCATGAACAGACATCGGTCGAAGAACTGACGGTAACCGCGGGGAACTGGACAACTGTATCATCCTGGTGTGCGATTTTTCACCCATAACCCCAGTAGGAGATCGAACGCAGAAGCTTTCAGTTAAAAAGCCTCATTTTTGATCATTTATTCACCTGGACGAAATCCAACTGTTCATGAATTCTGATTTCTTCCACTTCAACATTTATAGAGCTGTTACCAGCACAAAAGTACCAACAAAACAAGAACAACATAATTCTACAGTACCGCAAAGCATTGTCCAAATGAAAATCACCTTGGAAGATTTGCAATTATTGTAAAAGAAAGCTACTCAATTAGCTTTTCTCTTTCTGTTCAATGCAACAAGGGAAGAAAATTTCGGTAAATAATGAATGAGCCATCAATATTTTTATGCGATAGATATAATGCATTCCTTTGCATTCCTAGTGGAACATAAGGCTCCAAACTTGATCTTTGAAAATTATATTAATGGAGGGAGACGTTACGCAGTTGGTTAGCTTGCCACTTCCTTCCCTCTTTACAGAATTTACTATTGCGTAAGAGAGTATGAGCAGTGTATCAGCCTGGAATTGAATCCGCACCTGGTGCCTGGTTAGTGACAATTATATCATTGAATCAAAGACGCAATTTTATCGAAAACAACCAAGTTTAGACACGTATACATGTCCCTATAAATAACCAGCTGTTACATTTCTTTGTATAAGATTAGATTTAAAGAAAATAGGTCATACAATTTTCCCTAACACGTATGTAAAAGAACTCTGGTCACCATTAAGGATTAAGACCGATCAATCAGTTGGAATTAACCTTATGCGATTCACCTGAAATATCAAAGCCTGATTGAAAAGTCACTAATCTACCTGTTAATCTTCTTAGCGCGTATATATATATATATGCACACATTTCGGTGATTGTTGACAGTCAAGCGAACAGAGAGTTCCGTCCAGAAAACACTCATCGTGAAGCAGAGTTCCTCAGAAATGCCTTCCGTTTACCACACATCCTTATTCATATCATGTATATGCTTGTTCATGGTTTCGTGTGTTGATGGGCTGATGAACGATACACTGAGAGACATGTTGCTGACTCTTCACAATAATGCAAGAGATGATGTTCGAAATGGAGCGATAAGTGGACAGCCGAGAGCTATTTCTATCAAACACGTGGTAAGACGAATGTTCAAATACGACTTTTGTTTTGAATATTTTTCTGAATGTTGTCTATCAGGTGTTTCTCTGTTGGACTGTTGGAAACAGTGGAGTTTGTATACTCAGATGTTTCCAGCATGTTGACAGTGACGAAAGGTACTCACCAGTTGGATGAAGATAAGAATTTATGGGCCATTGGATATGGTCTCACTGGTTGGATGACTAACACGCTGTCTTCTCAACTTGCAAGTTTTGATTGTGGTCACTGGTGGAGTCCAGTGCGCGTAACACAGATCAGTCTCAAACTAGTTTCCACATCCAGAAAACAATACTGCTGCCCGTTTGAGATTTCCGCTATGTGCGTGTTAATTGTAGATACTTTTATAGAGCTATGTAAACTGATTACGCCCAAAATCTACCTTTAGTGAAGTGAGAAATCACACAGTATTGTAGATGCATATATACAGAATATTTGTTTATGAATTGTATACATTCTCTTTTGTGGTATTCGTCAGAAATACAACATGGAGTTGGAAAAGAAAGCACAGAATTTATCTGATCAATGTCGTGTTGGACATGACACAGATGCAGAGCGTAAAGTTCCGCCATTCACATATATTGGACAGAATTGGGCGGGTGCAGCAACAGTCGAACTGTAAGATATTCAGTATTTAATTAAATTAGTCTTTCATATTTCACATGTTTCATAGCGTTGCCGCTTATTACATAAACCGGAGTAAATTAATTATTTTTGTCGCATATATAACAATATTTCAGATGATGTCACCTTCATTCATTTGAAGTTATTTCGTGTCTCCCGTTGATTGATTTCCATGAGACGAAAATGGTCAGTGTCAGTTGATATGTAGGCTCTGGTGATTCGACGATATCTGCAGGTTAACATGGTGTAATTTGGTTGATGATGGCTGACATGGGGATACGGAATGCAGACTTCCTCCTGTTTCTCGCTTGTCAGCTAGACGCACATAGATTTCAAACAAGTGATGCTTTCCTCATACAGATGACCGCACTGGAGATGCATCTGCATCTAACTGATGAATCGAAAACAGGAAGAATTGCTTATGATGCTTATTGTGTTAGAGGGAATGAATTATTTTGAACGCAATTCAGATAATAATCTGAGTGAAAGATAAATATACTCAATGTGAGTAGTATTGCTTTGTGTACTTCGAGGTTTGTGAGATGACGCAGATTTGAGGAATCTTTCCATACTTCACACTGTAGTTGAACACGTGAGATAAATCACGATTTCTAGGGTGAGAGTGATTTCCTTGTCAGTTGTACTTGTCAGCAGAGTATGTGTGTCAGTGATACTGTGGTGGTGTAATTGTGTCTATAGGATAAAGTGCTCAGAATGTGAAGCTTGCTATATAGAGGAGAACAGTAGACAGGTGAAGGTCAGAGTGAGTGAACATAGACTATGCAGAAAACGTCCACCTAGAAATGAGGTAGAATTAAGAAGTCTGGAAAAAGATCGGTTATAGCATTGCATGCGATAGACAGCAGACATAAGATTGATTTCGATAACGTCGTAGAAATTCTAGGAAGGGGGGAATACCATTCACATAGAGAAAGGTTGACATCTGAAGCCTTACACATTTTAACCACATGGAATGCAGTAAATGGGAAAGAATGGATATTGGGACAAGACATATAAGCGAACTATTTGTTTTTCAATTAGATCTTCTTCAGGCTTTACTCTAATTTACATAGATTTATAAATAAAAATTTCAACTAATGACGGTGATTTTGTGCATCAACTAATAACAATAATGTGGTAAATGTTTTGAATGGATTTAATAACGATGATTATAATGATAACAAAATAATGATAGTAAGTTTTGTGCAGGGGGCGATATGAATAACCAAGTTAGTAGTATGTGTATATGCAGACAATTCAATAAGTAAATTAGGTCAAATTATATGTGTCCAAACCAAGTCGACTTACAACAATTTTAAAAAGTTTGGGAATTGGGTGGTGTAATACAGACAATGGCTTCCCACGGAATATTATCATCACAGTAAGAATCCTTGTATTTGTTGGTGTGTTAAAGTCTGAATACCTGTTCCCACAGTTCAATACTGCACTAGCAACAGAAATAATATGTGTATTTCAACAATATATTTCGTTTCGTATAATGTGAACTAAAATTGCACGCTCAGTGAACGATTGAAGGATATAAAGTGTGTGGATATAAATAGCAGTTTGACAACTTAAAACTATACCTTGACTTCCATGTTTGGCCTTCTATTGTTACTCTACTTCTCCTCTCCATGAGTGGAACAGTATTGTGTGCTTTAGTGTATGGAACGCTGTCATACAAGCAATTGTAGTTCTCACACATGATTCACAGATCTTTAGTATGGTGAGAAGCATCATTCTCGCATCAATTGCAGAGTGATATCTTATCTTCATTATACCTGATTATTTGTATGAATTTTGTCCAATTAATTGATAAGTGACTTGTTATTGTGTTTTTTTACCATGCTTTCAATAAAGCGGATTCAATTCATGGTTGAATGAGTATAAAAATTATGATTTCTACGGTAGTTATTGTTACAATGGTCAATGCAATAAATATACACAGGTAAGTAACTATACACTGATGAATCCATGTGTCTAACTCACAAGTTTGTTGTTAGTGTCAACACCGTTAGAACAATAACAGATAATATTACGGAAATATATCAGTAGGACTTGAGTGAATAACTGCACAAATGTAATCCACAAACAATTTGTGATACAAGCTTTTGTTTTGCTTATGATAGATGGTGTAGAGTAGCAGGAGAACTGGGAATGATCACGTGAAGGATGACTGATGGCTGAGTTATTGGGTGGGGGTGTCGGGAGACAGGCATGGTGTTGTTAAAATGAGGAATTACTTGTTTCAATGTTATTTGAACTGTTGTGCATATTTTGTATTTGACAATAATTGGACTTGTGACCTTTTACTTTTAAGTAATATAGTGGTGTACTTAGTTAAGGTTTGTTAGTGTTGTTCGAATGTGCAGTTGACATTCTTCCGTCCTCCATTGGGGACGACAAATTTGCAGCCAGAGTCCTTTCGTATTCAAAACGAGCACTCCAACACTCAACTACACTCCGAAGGCAGTCCAATTGATTCTAAAGCAACATCATCGCAAATGACAGATGGTTGTGAGAGTTAAGACGGGTAGGATTTGTGTATTAGGATAGTTAACTGGAATGGAGGGAGAAAAGAAGGATTTACGGCGACAATACAGACACTGAATCCCGTCTTCATTTGTGGTAACATACACGCTGACTGAAAGACGAACCAACAACCATACCACATTTTGTCAATCTTTGAAATTTTCTATTCTCCTGTCTGTATTTACATGGATTTGTAATGGAGTATCAGTAGTATTCAGCATTTTTTTAAAAACTTAGTCTACGATACTAAAATTTCGCTTCTCGTGAGACATCCAAAGACTTTGTGGCTGGTTGAATGTCGAAATAAATTAGCATACATTCTGAGAATAGATGAGTAGACTACTACCGACGTGTATCGATTTGTCTGCTATTCATTTCTCTCCGTATAAATATCCTATTTTCTGAGAATTCTACTCCTACTCCTACTCCTACTCCTCCTTCTCTTCCACTTCGGTTTATTCATTGCAGATCGTTTGGCAGAAAACTACTGATATAGGATGTGGCGTCACTGAATGTCCTTCTGCCACATATAGACTGAGCATCGTATGCAATTATGGACCTGGGTAGGTTGTTCCAAATCATCTTTTACTTCTAAAAGTGAATACTAGTCTTGACGAAAATATATTATTTATCAGCTACTGCATAATCATTTTCAACGTGATTTACTAATCTCCTGAATCCTGTATTCATTTTCAGCGGAAGTTACATCGATCAGTATCCATATGAAACAGACCAGACAGGCGAACTATAATCAGCCTTCCATATCTCAGTCCAGAAAGTACTCAGTTTATTCACTATTCAACGTGACGCGAAAGATTTTGACATCTAATAACTGTTGATTTGTTCATCATGATGTTCAGGATATCGTATTGTCTGTTTGTTTTCCTTTCTGTAATTTCGTTTCAACAAACGTCATGTTTAAGGCAAAAGGTTCTTACCGTCAATTGTGTTTGTTCACTGATGAGTTGAATGTATTCTCACTTGCTTCTTCTTCTTCTTGTTGCTATTGATGTTGTTGATGTTGTTGTTCAAATTTACCAAAATAAAAATGTATATCTGTATACATTATTTCTCTACAATGCGTTACATCCTCACTTGTTTCTCTCTCTCTTTACATAATGACTAACCAATGATCACCTCCGTTCGATATCCGCTGATATTTTTCTAATTCTAAGTACTATAAATCATGTTCTCTTGAAGCTGAAATAATGTGCGCGTCAACTGTAGAACAAAAGTGTTTTGTATAGTGTGAAACGAATGTATTCTGTTTGGTCACTGAACGAATTACATCAAACTATCATGTGATAGAAATATGATGATGCTATTCACTCGCTAATGTCAGCAAATTTCAGAAATTGCAGAATTCAATTAGTTGTAATCTATAAGAGACTGAGTAAATGACCAAACAGTAAGGAAAAACATTATTTGAATACCCCAAATATATTTTAATTGGAAAACAGAATATCTAGAGAGAGAAGCATTCTTTTCGATAAATCCTCGTTCAGGCTCTTCAGTTAGAAATCCATTCAGTCTACCAAGCAATAACCAGTAAAGGCAAATTAGAATTATACGAGAAAGTGTATTGTGGGAGAAGTACAAGATGGAGTAATACTCAGTTAGTTGTCATTATCATTTCGAATATGTACGGTCAATAATAACATGAGATAAAATGGAATGTAATAATTCAGTGATGTGGTTGCCTATATAAGCTAAGAGGCTGACAGATTTCAAAGGTGAGTGTAGTCAGTGGTGTGAGAGAAAATATAGATACTACATAGACAAATGATGAACCAACAAATGGGATGCACCTAACATGAGTTCAAGG